GATCAGAGAGAGAGAGAGAGAGAGAGAGCTATCATTTGTTTCTTTTGTATAAGATAAAGAAAATTATTTTTTTACCTTTTGTTTTTGGACAAGATATGAAGTAAATTTAAAAATCTTAAAAATCATCTTAAAAAACGATTAAAATTTGAACTTTATAATTTTATAAATTTTTTTTTTTAACAATTATTATTATTATTATTAACTTTTTTATTAACGGTAAAAATAGTTATCAAATACGTTTAGAATAGTACCTTAAATAATTTTTTTTTTTTTTTTAATAAAGAAATAATTTAAATATGGCGAATCAATTACAATGTTGCATTGATGACACACACACACACATTGAATTACAATTAATGAGGGAAACTAATTTTTTTAAACTCATTTAAGTCTCTGGTAGCTTCCGAATGGTGGAGGAGGAGGAGGGAAAGATAATTTCGTCACGTTAACTCTGACGTAATACCATTGTCTATTTCGTAATAATAATAATTATTATTATTATTATTACTTTTCGCACTTTGGGAGTGTCTCTTTATTCTTTTGTCTTTCAACTTGAATTCCTCTCTACTGTTTTCAAAGACCCTACCTTATTTTTTATGTACGTACATAAAAGTTATTTTTTTACTTTATATTTAATCAACAACAACAACAACAACAACAACAACAAGGAGATAACATAATTTTGACACGTTTTTCAAAGGGTTAGCATAACCTAAAAAAGAGAATTTTAAGTTATAAAAAAAAAAAAAATTTTTATTCGGGCAAAAATCACGGTCACACATAAAAAAATCTGATGCCACATTTTACTAAAAGATAATTATCTATAACAAAAAGAGTTGAATATCCTCCCCTGGGGCCCCATTGTACTCCTCTTTACTCATGTTTTGGTTAGTTTGCGCCTTTGTTTACGTTTTAAAATAAAAATAATAATAAAAAAAATTTTTTTTTTTTTTTTAACACATCATCTACGTGGAGTTCTCGTATTTGTTTTTATGATGGTGGTGGTGGTGGCAGCGGTGGCGGGGGTGGTGGTGGTGGTAAAAAAATTTTGTTCTGAACAAGTGAACGCGATATAATTTTATGCCTGAGTGATTTGGTTTTGTTTCCCTTATTTACAAAACTAGGTTCACGAATAATTTTTTAACATCTTTTAATTTAAAAAAAATAAAACACGTGGAGAGAGAGATAGGATTATAGGGGGGGGGGAAAGGGGGAGCTGGGAGTTGGGGGCTGGAAAAAAAAGGGGAAATGAAATATTTTTACACCGGAAGTGTACTTTTTTTTTTTCTAATCAAATCCTACTAGACAATTAGCAAATTTATTTGTTTCTAATATAATTTAAAAATTTTTTTTCGATCTGTAAATAATTACGTGTAATTTTAAAAGTGTGAGAATTGGAGAGATTCCAAACCAAATTTCCGATCGAAAAGAAAACCCCTTTCCATAGGTTAAATAATAATAATGATAATAATAATCCAGACCTTGAAAATTGAGTTAAATGCCCTCCTCTGTTGTAAGAAGAAATTTTTAAATGCGAAGGGTTGACGAACTTAATAAGGGAAAGAGAGAGCATATGTTAACCCCGGGTGATGATGAAATTTTGTGAAAATTAGGGAGTCGTCTCCCAGTTCAATAACCCATTTTAAGATATTTTTTTTTTCTTCCAGCTTCCTAATGTATCTTTTATTTTTAATTAATTTTTATTATATCATTTTGCGCTCAAGGGGTTAAAAACAGAAAAAAAAACCGAAAAACCTGTTTTCCTTGTGTATTCTCTTTAATTTTTTGGATTCTTTTTGAAAATGAGTATCGATCGTGTTCGACATATTAAAAAATTTTGCATTTTCACGTGAAAATAATCCAAAAAAAGAAGAAAACTATCGATACAAAAAAGTGAAAAGTTGGGGACAAAATCAAAATGTGGAAAAAAAAAAAATGCCATAATTTTATTTTAGAAAAAACCTGTTTGTCCACTTGATTGAATGACATATTAAATGTTTCCATCATTCATTTTATATAATTGAATATAAAAAAAAAATCAAATGGTTGTTATAAATAAATATGTGTGCGTGTGCGCGTGCGTGTGTGTACCTAACTTACACTCTTTTTTTTTAATTAATTTTATATAGTATATTGTTCCTCCCGGATTTCACGTTCTCATAAAATAATAATATTTTAATAAAATTATTGTTTAAAAAACATTTATAATACCTAAAAATAATAATAATAATAATAAAAGAATAAAAATTATTATTAAGATAATAATAATAGAATATATTTAAAAAAAAAAAAAAAAGAGTTAAAAAATATGATTCGTATGGAATATGTGAAGGAAAAATAGAAGAAAAAAAAAAACAAAGAATGTTTAAGAGAATTTTTCTTTAAGGTCCCAACATAATCCCCTCTCCCTTCCCGTCCCCGTCCCTTCTTCCCGTCCCTCCCTCTCGTCCCTCCCTCCCAGTTAAAGCCAAAAAGAGATCCCCAAATAAAAAAAAAATAAAAGAGAAATTAGTCGTACGGTGATAGAGATTAAAGGAGTCAACTAGTACACGTGGAGGAATATGAGACTTGTTAAAAGGGATGATGAATCATGAAAACGATATTACGAGTATTGTCATTGTACGTTGTGGGGGGGAAAGTTCATTAACATTGTTCAGGGTTTGTACTGTTTACTGTGCACTGTTCAGTTCAATTGTTATTATTCCTCTATTTGCTGGGATACCTGAGAGTTCCCCCATACCCAACTCTCCCTCCCCTTCTTCGTAACAATTATACCTTGAATAAAAATCTGCATTATCCCAATATTAATATTCCTTCGTACGTTTATTATTATTATTATTATTATTTTGAAATTTTCTTTTTATTCCTACTTGTTATTATTCATCTGGCTTCAATTTTAGCCCTTCATTTTTTTTTTTTCTATCTAAAAATAATTTTAAAAAATTGTTAGCCATTGCGTTAAAGAAGTTTGTTGATTTTTTAAAAAATAATAATAATAATAATATTAAAGTTTACAACAGTATTAAGAAGAAGAAAAAAAAAATTTTTTTTTTATAAGAAGAAGAAAAAACCCTGGAAGTTGAAATGAAGGCATTCGCTGCAACCGACCCTTGTAGTAAGTAGGTCCTTGCGAGGGGTCAAGCACCCCAAGCGACTGAGAGTCAACCACGTGCTACTCGGTTGGGCCCCTCTGTGGGCTTGACTAACCCGCTTAGTTACATTATCTCAATGGCGTCGGTTTACATTCCGATTACAGGAAAAAAAAAAAAAAAAAATTTTTTTCTTCTCAATTTTTTTTAATTTTATTTTTTTATTTTTTTTAAATGTTTTTTCAGGTCTGAAAATTGCAAAATAAAAAAAAAGCTTGATTAAAAAGGATTTCGACATGTAAATTGTAATAAAAACAAATGATCAAACCGAAATGGATTTATCAAGAATGGGAATGCTTAATCCAGTAAGTTTATCCAAAATAATAAAATTTGGTTACGTTACAAATTTTTTTCGGTACAAATATAGGGGGGGGGGGAAAGTGCGGTAATAATATTACGCCACTGAAAGAATCTTCGAATTTTTTTTAAATAACTTATGATGACTGAGCTTCTCTCACCCGCAGGGGCAATGTCCTTCAAATCTACCCTTTACATACTAACTTAAAAAAGTATCCTTCATTTTATAACTATTACGACTTGAAATTAAACGTACGAACAAAAATAATTCAAAAAAATTTATTTAGATATTTTAATTCATAAAAAAAAAAAAAAAAAATTAATTTTTGCCTCGATTTTTAAATAAAAAAAAAAGTCGTACGCATAATAAAAATTGAATTATTTTTGTCGAACATTTAAAAAAATAATTGCGAAGCGTTGTCTAGTTCCCCGTCTGCCCTTGTTACCAAACCCCCCAT